TTTCGCGGCATGTAATAGGCTATCTAGGAAATCGTGTTCTCTCCACCCACCTGATGATTATACGTGCAGAGCGCGGAGCCACGAGCCTGCATGTATCCGCGGCTGGCATCTCCATCGCGGTGTTATAGCATCTCCTCAGCCTCCTCATCCTCATGCTCGCTGCGCGCCTCGCCGCGTACCCTTGTCATCGCGTAACTGCGAGGTGTGGTGGGAGGCTCACGTCTCACGCGTCGGTTATATGGGGCCATAAAGTGCAGCCAGGTGTGATATTAGTAGGCACGTTGTAATGATGGGGCCGTGCCATCGTAAATCTCTGGCGAACACACGCGCGCATACACGCAAGCAGACACACACACCCACACACACACACACACACACACACACACACACACACACACACACACACACACACACACACACACACACACACACACACACACACACACACACACACGACACACACACACCGACACACGACCACGTACACACACACACACACACACACACACCCACGGGCAGCGTCCGCACGGGCAACAAGCAAGCGGCTAGCTGACAGTTTATGTCCGCCTATCGGGGTTCAAATACACCGCCTGGTAAATCCGTAGCTCGCTCTTCATGGCGGCGGCAGTCGGGTGACGATGAGAACGTGCAACGATCACTGATATAATGTGTCTTAATGTAGGTTGAACGCGAATTGCAGCTTTGACCTACAATCAACGGCGTTCATACGCACATCATGTGTGTCTGCAGTGACGCCTAGCACGCCTGGCGATCAAGAGTATCAGTAATTGTTCATTTTATACCGGCGCCGAGTCTAATGCTCCAACAACACTTTGCCGTAGCATGCAGGTCTAATAAATACCTAAAACTCTCAGGACTACCGCCTTAATATCGACGTTTTGTATTATAAGTCATAGAGTAGACTTTAAATTTTTAGCAGTCGCGGAATAAAACATATTTCGCCTAATGGTTTTACATGCCGGAATTGCCCTCTTGACAAACAAAAAATCGATAATTCTCCCAGGCAGGAACTAGAATGGTTATGTATGAATTAGATTGCAATAAGCAACCCTTTAGCGTGTATTTGTATAACCCGCAACCATATTATAAGCCTCCTAGAAAGAAAACTACTTAAAGAAGAGCAGAAAACTGCGTGCACGGAAATTAAGCGCATGTAAAATTGATTCGCTAGTCTGCCGGCCGATAGTGCTCAAATGACTACTTAGATTCGGAACTTGGCAGGATCGCCGACATTAGAATCAGCTATCGCGCAGCGGCAGTGATTGCGATGCTAATTGCACATGGCTAAAAAGACGACTCTCAATTTTTAATCTTCCACTCGCCACAGCCCGATGCGCAACGGAGCAAGAATTGCCCCCCCTAATAAAACTCCAACGTAAAGCCCCGTGTGTTGCTGAAAAATAAAAAATGCATTAATTGCAATAACATCGCGCTAATTGCGAGCTTAAATTAATAATCTAATTAAAAATGAATAAACCTCCGATCGCGGAACTGCGTGCGTGCGCCTGCCGTGCGTGCGTGTGAGTGCTCCGTGCGGTAGTAACGCTACTTAATAGTATCGCTGGCAATGCAATGCGCCCGGAACTGAGACCCGAAAAACTGGTTCCTGGACACGTATTGCGACGAGTTGCCGTAACTACCTAACTCCTTGAGGATAATGACTTATGGCGAGAAAACTTGACAGCCAATAAACATCGTTGGCGATTCGCAAAGCAACTCACTGAGCTTTCGTCTTAGACGTGCCGCCGAACTGAGCTAACACACGACAAATCGAGACAATACAGCCGACAGACAGCACCACTAACCGGCGCGCATAGCACACACACATGCAACGACACACACTACACGCACAACAAGGTTCTCACCACGCACATTAGACACATTCACACAACCCCAACGCACACACAACGTCCATTCTGCACGCACTCACGCACGCAGCGCACGCACACACACACACACACACACACACACACACACACACCAACACATATATATACACACACGTGTGTGTGTGTGTGTGCGCGCGCGCGTCTGTGTGTATGTGCGTCAGTGGTTGAGTTCTTGAACGCGTAAGCTGTCCGAGCTGTAAATAAAGCCCGTAATGTTCTCATTTACTCCAGCCGTAATATGATTGCTCGACGACCAATCGCTGTCAGAAATTCATAAGGCGATCCATCATGTCCGCACTTGTGCGCTGCCGCTCTAGGCCACGTAATTCTTCGTCTGACATGATGTATTATTGTCATTATCACAGCGCAGCGCGATATAAATGCATGCATTACGGCAAAACCGCGTTGACGCTAATTTTGCCGCCGCGGACAAGCGAAATCGATGGTCCTGTGTTTTTTCCGCGCACGCGTGAGAATATATTATTATATGCACACGGGGCAAATCTTGAGTAAGAAAATGCGCGGCAAGGGGACGTTCTCGGATTCGCGTCAATGTTTCCACAGGGATAGGCGTCTGCGTTACCACCGAGACGCGTGTTTTTACGGAGAAAGAAGTCGGTGTTACGGGGGGGGGGGGGGGGTCAGAGCTAAGGGTTTGAGCGGGATCTTGGGTATCTTGGGTGGGTATTCGGTGGGTACCGATGGTGACAGGCATCCATGTTACTTTACTATCCATAAGTCTTGCGCCCGTGTTGCCAAGGAGGCAGGCAGCGTTGTCAGAATGACGATTAGTCATATCAGACGAGTCATAGTCCAAGCGTTTGTCCTATGACTCATCAGAAAAATTTCGACTTAAGAATCGTTTGTCCGCCCCCCCCCCGCCCCCAGGTGCACCGAGACGTAGCCCTGGTGCTGAACGAATTGTATACCGTGTGAGAGAGTCGGCCATTAGACTTACGAACATTCTGACTTAGAAATGCACGCTCCGTTATGTATATAATTTCTTTTTTGGGGGGGGGGTCGACGCACGAACGGCGCCAACCACAGGCGTCTGACGGGACCCGAGCTTCTCTCTGTAATTCATATGTATTAAACTTATTTTATAATATTTTGCGTGCACGATTTTCATTTACGTAGTTACATGATCCCGCGCGGGGTTATAGTTAGTGTTGGGGTTAATGGCGAGTGTATACTCAGACTATTTGTTGATGTTTGTTGCTAATTGTTGCTATTTGTTGCAACTATAATTGTTTGCTTGAGCACAAAGCTAATGACTGAATTATCTCGGCTGCTCAGCGAGTATCTGCCGTTGGGTTTACAAAGTTATTTCATACCTCATACACTTTGGTAATTTGTCAACTGCGATTTACACTTTTTAGATTGCTGTGACATAGAAGGGCTTTCTTTGATGGATTGCTGATTTTTGTTAAACACTAATAAGCAGTTGGTTTGGTGACTGTATTATCCATCTCCATATTTATGCGGAATATTTGATTGGCTATTTTGCAGCGTAATCATGGCCTGTTAAGGCTCTTTTAGTAAGGCATCTCTACATGTGGGTAAAATATTCGCAGGAATCCTTAGGACTCGCCTAGAAAACTTGCTGGAAGACTCCGGATTTTTAGGGAAACTCTAAAATGGCTTCAGCAGGGACAGCCGTGCTAGTGACAACATTTATATTCTGACCCAAAGCATACAGAGGGCAAAATACAGGAAATCAACCCTGTATGTGGCTTTCCTAGACTTTAAAAAAGCAAACGACTGGATAGATAGAAGGAAACGACTACGTGAACTCAGAAGAGTTGGGTTAGGGGACAAATTTAGCTGGCTAATAGAGGCCATGTACGAGGGAAATGAGTCTAAGACTAGCCTAGGCCCATATGAATCAGGTTGGGTTAAATTCACGAGAGGGGTCAAACAAGGATGCTTATTATCACCGTTGCTCTTTGCCATCTATATATACGAGAGCTATCTCGCAGACTAGAAAGGCAAAATGAAGAACTAGGTGTAGGGAGGGAAAGAACCACAGGGATGCTGTATGCTGATGATGTGGTCTTGATAGCAGATAATAAAAGGGAACTGCAGGAATTACTAGATGTGGCGGCAGGCTTTGCAGAAGACTACAAAATGATATACGGCGAAGACAAGACTCAAGTCATGATTTTTATTAATAATAAGGCGGAATAGGAGGATGTAAATTTCAAACTAGGGAGGCTAAGTCTCGAAACCGTTAACGAATACACATACCTAGGAATTAAAATAAACAATAACATAGAAAACTGTGTCGAACTACATGAGGGTGAAGTGCGAGTAAAGGCAAGGAAATACCGAGGGATAATACCAGCGAAGGCATACTATAGCTGCAGCAGTTACTGGGTAGGGAGAGAATTGTGGAAGACAGTAGCAGTACCTGCCCTAACCTATGGAAATGACATAATCATATATAAGGATAAGAAAAAGGGAACAGGCACTCTCCAAGCTCTTGAAAATACCCAAAACCAGCTTGGCAGGGAACTGTTAGGTGCCCCCACCTTATGCGGGTATTGAAACAATAAGGGGGGGAGCTTGGGTGGTCCACGTTTGAGGATAGAGAAGTGAAGAGCAAACTTAAATATTTAGGGAGATTAAATTATATGGAGGAAGAGAGGAAATGCAGGGGAATAGCGGAAGCTATCAGTGCAGGAAATTTTACGTCGGATTGGAATAGACGAGTAAAATTCCTGGGGGGGAAAGTATGACAAAGAACAGCTATTGATAAATAGAGACTGGGAAAACAGCGAAACATTGAACAATACGGTGGAGAAAATCATTATAAAAGGCAGCACAGTCAGATGGAGAAAGGGGATGGTAAACAAAAGCACACTAGAGCTATATAAAGGGAAAACATTTCCTAAACAAGAAACCTTTTACAATAATAATAAAATCGGCAGTAAGCTGCTGTACCAATGTAGCGCGGGATGCCTCCCCGTAAATAAAAGAACCAGGAGATGGTTACGGGAAGAAAATTGCACTGTGTGCAATAAGGGAGAACCAGAAGACCTTAAGCATTTCTTGTTAGTTTGCCCGGCATACAAACACCTAAGGAAGATCATGTGGGACAGGCTTCAAGAACTGGGGGTCACCCCTGCACAGCTGGAGGAAAGGCAGGTGATGCTCACCATATTGGGGCTAAATGAACATAGATGTTATGGGGATTGGGTAGAGCAGGTTAAACATTACTTAGAATCAGCCTGGAAGCTCCGGAACAAAATCTCCCGGTAAAGTGAAATTACCGGTGGGAAACTATCAAAAAATAAAAAGGGAAATACCGATAGAAAGGTTCCCGTTCATACATACATACATACATACATACATACATACATACATACATACATACATACATACATTCACACACACACACACACACACACACACACACACACACACACACACACACGGGCAGCGTTCGCGCACGCAACAAGCAAGCGGTAGTGGCTTGACAGTTATGTCCGCTTTTATCGCTGTTCAAATTACACCGCCTGTGTAAATCGTACTCGCTCTTCATGGGCGGCGGCAGCGGTGACGATGACGATACGGTGAACGATGCACTGATGAAGTTGTCGTTAATGTTAGGAGAGCGCGGAGATTGCACGCGTTGACTACATCAACGGCGTTCATACGCAGCATCTGTGTGTCTGCAGTGAGCGCTCTAGCACTCCTGGTTCGACAGAGTTTTATCGTAATTTCATTTTATTAGCCGGCGCTCGTCTAATTGCTTTCCACAACGCTTTTGCCGTAGCGATGCGAGTGTTTAATGTAAATGAGCTAAAACTCATCAGGACTACCGCCTTATATTATCGTATCGATTGTATTTATAAGCATTAGAGTAGAATTTTAAATTTTTTAGCAGTCGCGGATAAACATATTTCGCCTAATTGTTTTACATCCCGTTAATTGCCCTTTACTAACGAAAAGAACTCGATAATGTTTCATCTCCGGCAGGAATAGAATTGGTTAGTGTATGGATATTTTAATGCAATAAGCAACCCTTTAGCTTGTATTTTTATTAACCTCAACATATTATAAGCGCTCTAGGAAAGAAAATACTTGAAAGAAGAGCAGAAAATGCGCAGAAATTTAAGCGCATAAAATTTGAGTTCGCTATTTTCTTCCGGCCGATAGTTCAAATTTGACTAATTAGATTCGGAATTGGGCAGGAGTCGCCGACATTGTAACACTCTATCGCGCAGCAGTGATTGCGATGCGTAATTGCACATGTGCTAAAAGACGTAGCTCTTCAATTTGTTAATTTCTTCACTCGCCACAGGCTCCGATGCGCACGGAGGCAGATGCGTAAGTAATCTCCAACGTAAGCCCCGTGTGTTGCTTGAAAAATTAAAATTGCATTAATTTGCAATAATCATCGCGCTAATTGCGAGCTTAATTAATTTAATCTAATTTAAAATGATAAATTTCGATCGCGGTATACTTGCGTGCGTGCGTGCCTGTGCGTGCGTGCGTGTGTGCGTGCGTCCGTGCGTGTATGTAATGTCTACTTAATGGTATCGCTGGCAATGGCAATGCGCCCGGAACTGAGACCCGAAAACTGGTTGCTGGACACGTATTGTCGACGAGTTGCTGTACTTACTAGCTCTTGAGAAGATGACTTATGGGCGATGAAAATTCTTGACATGCTAATAAAATCGTTGCGATGTCGCATGCATACTCACTGGAGCTTATCGTCTTTACGTTACGTGCCGCCGAACTGAGCTTACACACATACAAACAGACATACAGACCGACAGACAGGCACCACTTACGCGCGCGCATGCACACACACATGCACACACACATACACGCACACACACACACGCACGCACACACACACACACACGCACGCAAACACACACGTCACCACAATGCATCATCTATGACAAATAATGACAACAAAAATATACACGAAAAAAACAGTCTATCGTCGACATTGTCGTTCGCTACCCGACCACTGGATGGCGCTGCGATAGTGATAGCGTCATTTGCAATTACGGGGCATTCGATGTTGAAATGCACTTGGCCGTATGTGAGATTGTTCTGCGTAATGAAATTTCATTACGGCTCCGAACGAACGCTTTCTCCCACTCAATCGGCGAATTTTATTTGTGATTAGTTTACGCTTGCCTTGCGGCGGCTTGTATATTGGCTCTATGTAAAACAGCCGGACAGAG